GGCAGAGCGGCAGGGAGAGGGAGAAGCAGGCTCTCCACTGAGCAGGGACCCCGATGCGGGGCTCGATCCCAGGACCCTGGGATCATGACCTGAGCTGAAGGCAGCTGCTTAACCGACTGAGCTACCCAGGCACCCCCAGGTCTGCATTTTATAGAATACTTTTGTATGTGATCTTATTACTTACCTTTTTTTTTTTTTTTTTTTTTTTGAGAGAGAGAGAGATCATGAAGGTGGGGAAGGGCAGAGGGAAAGGAAGAGCGAGAATCTCAAGCCGACTCCCCACCCAGCATGAGCCTGATGCGGGGCTTGATCTCATAATCGTGAGATCACGACCTGAGCCGAAATCAGGAGTTGGTCACTTAACTGAGCCACCCAGGTGCCCCTCTTATTATTTTTTTATAAAAATTGCTATAACGTATCAGTTTAGTCATTAAAATATACATTATATGTTATATATTATATAATCATGTAATATAATACACATATTTTAATGGCTTACAGTCAGAAATGTTCAGGGGCCCCTGGGTGGCTCAGTGGGTTGGACGTCTGGCTCTTGATTTTGGCTCAGGTTATGATCTCAGGTCATGGGATTGAGCCCCGTGTGGGGCTCTGCACTCAGCGGGGAGTGTGCTTGATATTCTCTCTCCCTCTCCCCCTGCTCTCTCTCTCTCAAAATAAATAAATCTTTAAAAAAAAATGTTCAGTAGTTTAACTTGGACACAAAGAGCATATTTTCTCTCTCATTAGATCATGCCAGGTAATTCCAAACAGTAATAGTGGTCTAGGTGGAAATTTCCTGAAGAATTCTGATATGTGGAAAATACTGTACATGAAACAAAGTATATAATTTTGTCTCTAAACAGTTATTTCTGTATAATGAGTAGCTGTTACCCAAATTCTGTTGTCTTAATAAATTTAAAGTTACGTGCTTTCTAGTGCTGTATATTTTCAGTACAGTTCTTCCAAGCTCTCTGAGCGTCACCGTTTATTCTCCCTTTCTTTTTAGGGTAACCTACAGTTGCTGCAGAACTGCTTGGCGGTGTTCAACGGAGACACATAAGCCACACTCCACCTACAGTTAAAAAGGGCTGCCTTCCTTCAGATTTTATTTTTGTTTTCTTAATGGTATTAAGCATTTACTGCTCACTGGAAACAAAAGAAACAGCCGTCAAAGTGCATCTACTCTCCTTTTTTCCGAGAAACCACGGAGCGGCGCTGTCCCTGGGCTCTGCCAGCGTGCGTGGTGGGACGCCGCGCCCCCGCACCTGTGCGCCCCTTGTGGCCGTCGGCCCTCGCCGTGCGTGCCTCCTCTCCCGAAGCCCCAAGTTCAGGCTTGTTTTAAGTAGCCTCTGTAACTGTGTTTATTTTATGAATAGTATTCCTTCTGGCTGCCAGTCTTACTTTTAAGTACTCTCTGAAGTTTAACCCTTTTAAAAACACATTGTTCAAACAAGATAAAGATTGCCCTTACCTTTTTTTGAATTTTGTTTTTAAAAAACATTGTATACCACCTTAGTTCATTCATGTATCCTGGTAAAGCATCTTAATCGGACTTATTTTTAATTAATGAACATTTCTTAGAAGTTTTGGGACAGATTTTATGTAATCTTTGTAAGTATGATTTCTGATGAAAAGCAAATGCATTAGTATGTTTGCCTTAAACTTGTAGACTAAACCAACTATTATCAAATAAAGTGATAACAGTGATAGTTTTTAACTCTGTGGTCATTGTATCACTCTAAAATTTGGAGTAGCTATAATAAATCTACTCCTTTATTCTGCTTTACAGTGCAGGTCTTAGTTTTTCCTTTTTCTTTTTTTAAATGGCATATTGAATGAAGTTCACCAGTCCCTTTACAAAAGGATGAACTGCTTCTCTGTGTGCTTTTAGCCTTTTATAGAAGGTGGAATTGAGCAGAGGCAAGTTAGAAACAGCCATTTCTAAAACACAGGAGCAGACAGAACAGTCTGTTATGGTTTCCTGAATTCTATCTCTAGCTCAGCCAAGGAACCGTGAGACGTGCCATTGAGCCCACTTGATCGTTATACTAGTGTATAAATTGGTATGTAGAGAGAAAGAGTATATAGGGAACAGCATTTGTCGGTGGGGGAAAAATTAGAATATTTGGACTAAAAAGGGTACAAAAAGGATACTAATTGTCAGTAGTCAATTCCAAATATTACTGGTCTTTTTAATGTAAATTAACATCAGGTCATTTCTAATTTAAAATTAGGTTGTGTGGTTTGATTTTTTTCACTAACTTCTCTTCCAGTTGGAAACCACAAGCATTTGGGTTGGTCACCCCTCGTTTAAATTTTCCCAAACCCTGGTTTAGGTCTTAAGGGTAGTCACCATGATTCCGGCCTTGCATGTTCTCTTGCCTTACTGGTGTGCTGGTTAATGTTCTTTCACTGATGTTGTTCCCTGATGCCATTCGAACTTGATTTTTCTGTTGCCTGAGAAATCTCTGTGTTTTGTCCTCCTTCATGTCTCCTTCCCTGGTGAAAATATGCCCGTGCGATGCTCTCCAGTGGGTGAACATGGGCCAGAGAGCCCTAGCTTCTGGATTCTGGTGCAGTCCCTTCGCTGGCTGCCCTTGTGGCCTCAGGCAGGTTCGCTTGACCTCTCTCTGCCTCAGTTTCTCTACTACAAAGGACCTATTGACCTACCTCACAGGGGTGTTGTGAGGATTAATAAACATTGGTACAGTGCTTTGGAAATGTGAAGATGCTGTGTAAATGCTAAGAAATAGTGAGTACACAGGGCGCCTGGGTGGCTCAGTTGGTTGAGCATCTGCCTTCAGCTCAGGTCATGATCCAGGGTCCTGGATCCCTCTGCTCAACGGGGGAGCCTGCTTCTCCCTCTCCCCACCCCCTGCTCATGCTCGCTCGCTCTCTCAAAGTCTTTTTTTAAAAAAATCAAAATAGCAAGTACAGGGCAGAAAGCTATATACAATGTTCCACATAGCCATCAGCTAATCTGTACCAAAAAGGTCTTTTTGGGGAAAGGGGTAGGAGAGTGCTTCATAGATCCCTTGGTCCCTGGTTTACATTTTTACAGTGTGTGTGTGGGCGGGGGTAGACTGGAAGCAGCAGTTACATATTAGAGCATGTGTGGGAGGGTGCTTAATAAATACACCTATAAATGAGTTGACTACACTATGCAAGGGCCTTCTCATAAAACACTAAGATAAAGAACGTATATTATTCCCTCAAGGACCTACTTCAGGAGAGATTCTACTTCGTACCTCCAGAACAATTGAAATATTCCATAGTTCACTGCTAGTTCCTGATTAAAAAAAACAAAAAAACCCAGCCAGCCTTGGTTTCACGGCTCTTGAGCTGTGGCATTCATTTAACATTTATTGGCTGTCGTATGCCTGGGGGCACAAAGGAGAAACAGGAGGACACCCGGGAGCAGAGACAAAGCCCTGCTATAGGGTTTCCTACAGGGGACACTATGCTCTGACAGGAAGAAAGCGACCTAGGCAGTGAGAATGACCCAGGGTGTGAACAGTGGGGTGGGAACCAGGGGAATGAAGGTTGTGGGTTTTATGTGGTGAGGGTGGAAGATGGCAAGAAAGGAAATTGCAGAAGAAAGTGGGTCACAGCAATTGCACTACTAGGTATTTACCCCAAAGATGCGAATGTAGTGATTCGAAGGGGCACCTGCACCCCAGTGTTTATAGGAACAATGTCCACAATAGCCAAACTATGGAAAGAGCCCCGATGTCCATTGACAGATGAATGGATAAAGAAGTGTATATATACATGGAGTATTACGCAGCCATCAAAAAGATGAAATCTTGCCATTTGCAAGGACATGGAACTAGAGGGTTTTATGCTTAGTGAAGTAAGTCAATCAGAAAGACAATTACATGATCTCACTGATATATGGAATTTAAGAAAACAGGGTCATAGGGGAAGAGAGGAAAAAAGAAAACTAAACCAGAGAGGGAGACAAACCATTAGACTCTTAATCATAGGAAACAAACAGGGTTGCTGTAGGGGAGGGAGATTGATGAATGCGGTAACTGGAAGTTGGACATTAAGGAGAGCATGTGATGTCATGAGCAGTGGGTATTAAGACTGATGAAGCACAGACCTATACCTCTGAAACCAATAATGCATTATATGTTAATTGAATTAAAATTTTGAAAGGAAAGGGAAAAAAAAGAGGGTCAAGTCAGTGAGCTTCATAGACTGGGCAAAATGCACCTAGTTTGGAAAAGCTTATACAATATTAATGTACTGTAACAAAACTACAGAAGTTGAGCTCAAACTGATCACTCTGAAAAAATAAAATAGAATAAAACAAAAAAAAACTGGCGGGGGAGCGGGGGAAACGGAGTGGTTCAAGCCATTATAAACCATCCAGCCACACAAACTCTATTTTGCAATGCTCCATTTAAACACGGAACACCCTAAACACGGTTACTTATCACCCACTCATAAAACACGTGTTTTTGACACGAAACATTTTTACCTGTAAAAAGCTATAAACTTACAGGTTTTACAAAGAAGTACCAAGATTTCTAACCGCAACCCGGGCGTTATGTAAAGTATCATAAAACTATGTAAACAGCTCTCACTCAAAATAATAGCAAAAACATACCAAAAACTTTAAAGAACACTTTTGAAAAAAGCGACGAGGGCAGAAAAAACTGTTATTCAAGTACAAAAACCAGGGGAAAGCGCGAACGCAGTCCCCCACTACCACAAATTATGCAGTCGAGTTTCCCACATTTGGGGAAATCGCAGGGGTCAGCACATCCGGAGTGCAATGGATAAGCCTCGCCCTGGGAAAACCACCTTCGTGATCATGGTATCTCCCCTGCCAGGTAAGTATGCTTTGCTCGCCCTGCCTCGCCGCTCACGCTCGCGCTCGCCGCGCTCCTTACACACGGTCACTTCCCTCCCGCCGCCCCCAAGACCCCCAAGACCCCCGCGCCCCGCACCACCCCCGCCGCCACCTCGCTCGCCCGCACAACCCCGCGGGCGCCTTCGCCGGGCCCCACGCGGGACCCGCGCGCCCGGGCGGGGCGGGCCCGGCAGCCTCTGCGCGCCTGCTCCTCTGCATACGCCACGCCCTCGTCGTGACGTCCCCCGAGCCCCGTCTCCCGCTCTGGGACACCGGCCGTCCCAGTCCTCGCGGAGACCGCGGATGCCTGGGGGGCAGGGACGCGGGGTGCGGGGCGGGCGGCGAGGGTGTCGGGACCTGCAGGGGAGATCCGAGAAGCCTGGTCTCCCAGCTCTGGGCAATCGAGGGCCCAACTAGAGAGTGACCCCACCTTCCCTTAAGCGAAAAGGAAGTTTCAGTCTATTTTGTTTTAGCTAGCTCATCCACACTGGAGAGATTATTATGAGGACATTTCCCCCTCCTGAAAATGTGTCCTATACGATTAATGAGGTTGAGGCTAGCAGAAAATTTAAAGCTTGTTTTTCAGGGAACAGGTTCTCCCTCTAACCCCACGAACAAATCTACTAGCTGTCTCTGCAGAAGCCTGGATTCAAGGTCAACTAATATGGTTCTCTAGCCTCTGACCGATATTGCTAACCCAAGGTAACCAACCCAAGACCCCATCCAGTTTATACCAGCTCTTGGAGCATGCCCAGAGCCCCTTCTCCATATCCTAAGATAACCTCCTGACGTGAGGGGCTGAATTTTGCTTTTTTTCTGATGTTAAGTCTCCACGCAAAGTGGACATGGGGAGTATGTTACATATACACTTCCTAAAGGCGCATGCTCCATCTTTCCTCTTGCATAGTCTTAAGTTTCTCTGCTCTTTTCATCAATACGTATGTAATGCAGCCCCTATGATTGTAAAAAACTTGTTCTCTCCCCCTTCAGGGAAGCGGATTTGTGGCTTGCTCTCCAATCTCCTCCTTTGGCTGCCTCTCAAATAAGCCCCTTTCCTTACAGCACACCTGATGTCTCAGTGATTGGCTTTGTATGCATCAGGCAGATGGACGTGGGTCCAGTTACACTTCCCCCACTTAAGCGCTTAAGTATAGGATTTCCCCCAACCAACTTAACAAGGATCATTTTTTCATGGTATCTTCCTGAGTAAGCCTGTCATAAACTACTTCAATATATGAACTTCTTCAACATACACAAGTGAGCCTAGTAAAACCTAAAGGAGGGGCGCCTGGGTCAGTGGGTTAAGCGGCTGACTCTTGATTTTGGCTCAGGTCATGATCTCAGGGTGGTGGGATCTAGCCCCAAGTCTGGCTTGCCCTGGGCATGGAGCCTGCTTTAGATTCTCTCTCTCTACCTCTCCCTCTGCCCATCGCTGCCTCTTTAAACAACAACAACAACAAACCAAAACACCCTAAAGGAAAATGAAAATAACAGTCAAAGAAAGAAAGGAAAGTCTAACCTCGAAGACAGAAAACCAGGACAAAGTGCAAACTTCATCCACTGGGCAAATCACGCAGTGGTCAAGTACATAATGCTGCTAAAAGGGAAAGTATTTTAAAACACTTGAAAAAAACGTAGGTATACTATTATGTTTTCTAGTCTATTCACAATTGCCAAAACATTCCATTTAATCTGTTCAACTTTCTCTCTCTCTCTCTCTTTTTTTTAGTAGGCTCCATGCCCAGTGTGGAGCCTAACACCGGGCTTTAACTCATGGCTCTCAGATCAAGACCTGAGCTGAGATCAGGAGTCAGAAGTTAAACCGACTGAGCCACCCAGGTGAGAATTTTGCCTTTAGATGGTGAGGCGGACACAATTTTTTAGACTGTAAACCGGTAACTTTCCTATCTCTGCTACTCTGTCCATGGAGAGGTGGGTCTATTTCTTCCCCTGGAAACTGGAATGTAGTGACTTGCTTGACCAACCGAATGTGGCAAAAGTGTTGTTCAGGGAATTCTGAGACTAGGTCAGGAGAAATTTTACCGCTTCCATTTGGGTCTCTGGGAACCCTGTCTGGGAGACTGGAGATACCATGTAAGAAGGCTGATTACTTTGAGGCTGCCATGTTGTGAGGAAGTCCAAGGCTTTGTGGAGAAAGATGCATAGAAAGGGAGATGCATAGCTAGTCCCTAGCTGCTTCAATCTCAAACTGAGGCCCCAAACACAGGGAGCAGAGTCATGCCTGCCAAAGTTGCATATTTGTGCGCAAAATAGATGACTTACTGTTTCAAAGCTCTCAGGTTTGGGGGTGGTGTTTTTGTGCCGTGCTAGGGAATGGAACAGGGAGACAGAAGCAAGCAAACAAGCAATATGAAGTAGAAGAGGAAAAAAAAAAGTGGTTAAGGGATAGAGAAGATGGGATGGAGAGAAGGGACTGGGGTTGAGGGCTTAAAGGTTTTGACAAGGGAGTCAAGGAAAGCCTCTCTGCTACATACTCCTACTTTTCTTTGCTTGCTCATCATGTGCACACAAAACTCCCCAACAGCCACTCCAAAATGGCAGTCTCATTTGGCAATTCCCTGAGTTTATTTGTCCTGTTGTAGGTCCTACGACCATAGCCAACTCCTTAGAACCCCTAACTCTCGATTTTAAGTTTATGGGAATCAGTAAATAATGACCCAATTTTGAGGAGCAGAACGAACATACTGTAAAGGCATATCCCCCTGAGGAGAGCCATGAGTCTCAGAAAAGAGAAAATGGGTTCCCCAACAGGTATCTCCTCGACATCACTGTGACTCAGGGAGAGTATTCTACTTCTCAAAAAAGTTGGGTGGAACAACAGTTGAAAACCAGAGAAATCCATGGCATGTGAATGGTACATTATCCCATACGAGTTCAAAGCAGAGAAACATCCCCTACAGAGGGAGAATCTGAAAAGGCATTGTAGAAAACGTACAGAGTGAGTTCCCATTACTGCAGCATCTCATGGCTGAAAGGTATCCCTAAAAGGTCATTCTGTCTAGTTATTGACCCACCCGTTGCTTGCAAATGGATCTTGAAGGATAGGTAGGGTTTGGATAATGGAATTTAAAGTAGAAGAGGGAGCTCCAGGGAACAGCATAAACAAAGAGCATAAACAAAGGCCTAGTGTTGGAAGGCATGACACATAGTCTTCTTTTCCTTTGCTTTCCTTTCCTTTGCTTTCCTTTCCTTTCCTTTCCATTCCTTTCCTTTCCTTTCCTTTCCATTCCTTTCTTTTCCTCTCTTTTCTTTTCTTGGACATACTCTTGAGTCAGCAAATTGTGTTGGATATGTGTAGGGACATCAGTTTGGCATGATGTTTTGAAGCATTGTGGAGAGCCAAGAATACAGCAAGATAAGATAAATAGATCAGCAGGTAAAGGTGAACTATTAGGACTTCTTAAAAAATATTTTTTAAATTTATTAATGAGAGAGTGAGAGTGAGATCAAGAGAGAGCATGAGCGGGGCGCGGAGGGGCAGAGGGAGAGGGAGAAGCAGGCTCCCCTCTGAGCAAGGAGCCCAATGTGGGACTCAATCCCAGGACTGTGGGATCATGACCTGAGCCAAAAGCAGACACTTAACCGACTGAACCATCCAGGCACCCCAAACTATTAGGACTTTTTAGGAAGGTAATTGCCCAGACCAAAGCTGTGTTGGAAAGGGTTACTCTGCCAGTGGAGAGTGGCAGAGACTGGAGAGGCAAGAAAAGCAAACAAGGCTGTCAATTAGGAGAGTATATCAGTAGTCAGGGTGAAAGGTGGGGAGATGGGATGTGCATGAAAGAGACGTAACTAAGCGAGCCATAGGACTTGGGAATCGAGGGCTCATGGAGGGACAGAGGAAGGAGTCAACCAAGATTCAAGTCTATGGGAGTTGTAAGGATGGAGGAAGTGATATGAGCAGAAATCAAGAGTCAAAATACCTATTTACTGAGGTATAGAAATGGGGTGGAAGATGCTGAGTTGGGTTTGGGCTATATTGATTGAATGGCCAGTGGGGCAGCGGTGGAGAGTATCTACCCAGGCAACTGGAAATCCATTATAGTACCTGAGGAGAGGGCAAGGACCAAATAAAACGGGTCGTTATCTGAATGGGATCATGAAGAGGGACAGAAGCTTGAGAACAGGCCAGTACAGAAACAGGGCAGCAAACAGTTTCACAATCAAGTGGCCTTATCTCAAGTTATCATCTACCTCATCTCAAGTATTGAGCGGAACCGGACAAGGGCCAATCAAAAGTTGGAACTGAGAAGAGGCCAAGAAAAGGTAATTAGGAATTAACCGGTCACAGCCTAGCAACTTTTCAGTAGACAGTCGGGCCAAAGCGAGACTGAGGAGCGAATAGTGGTGAAGGTGAGATAGCCGCGCGGTAAAAGAAGGCAAAAGGGCTTGAGGCTTGAAGGTTGGAGGGACAGCAGGTGTCAGTGTCTGGGGACCTACTGGTCCAGATTTCTGGCTGCATGTCCCTCAGCATCTAGATTTCTGCTTCTTTACGTCACGACGTGAGACGCTGCACATGGAGCGCTCATCTCGTAGACTGCCACTTAGGAGGGTGCCGATTCCTAGTATCTGCAATTAGGCAGCTGTGTCCGGGTTAAGTGGAAGCCGCGCATCGCGGCGGCGAGACTAAGACCCGTCCTCTCTCCCCGCCCCCTCACTGGGACGATCTGCGCAGACGCACAAGGAGAGCAAGGAAGTGTGGGCGGAAGTGGAGTTGCGGACTCTTTAGTGGGGGGACCTGCGGTGTAAACAGTTGCTGTGCGGACGCCTGTAGTCGGTGTCGGAGGGTGCAGGCCACCATGAACCGGCTCCAGGATGACTACGACCCCTACGCAGTTGAAGAGCCTAGCGACGAGGAACCCGCTTTGAGCAGGTGGGCCCCTGCCCCGTCCCGGCTTCCGAGGCTTCGGGCCGAGGCCAGGCTTTAGCCTCCTCCAGTCGCTGCGCCTGCTAGGCCCTTGCTGACCCTCGGCCGAGCGGTTCGGGCGCCTGTCGCGCCCCGCTGTCGCCTGTGGGACGCCGAGTGGGGTTCTGGTGAGGTTGCGCAGCCCCGGGGAGGCGGGGCCGACACCGGCGCAGGGTACCGGGATGTTCTGGAATTACGCGTTAAGTCTTCAAAAGCCTTGGGATCGAATCCTGCCTGCCTCTGCAGCTTACTGGCAGTGTGAGAGAAAGCAAGTCACTTACGCTCGTTTTCCTCATCTATAAAAAGGAAAGATAATAGCTGTATCTTAAGTATGTTGTGAGACTAGTGGGACTTAATGTGAAGTGACCCTCTTGAAGACTAAACTGCCATAAACAGAAATAAGGGGATACTTAGCAGGCAAGGGAATACTCAGCAGGCTTTTTTTTTTTTTTAAGATTTATTTATTTGACAGAGAGAGAGCGAAAACCCGAGAGCACAGCACGGGGAGCAGGAGGCAGAGGGAGAGGGAGAAGCAGGCTTCCCGCTGAGCAAGGGGCCCGTTGTGGGGCTCGATCCCGGGACCCTGGGATCATGACCTGAGCGGAAGGCAGCCGCTTAACCAACTGAGCCACCCTGGCGCCCCTAGAATTTCTTTTCTTTTTAAAAAGATTTTATTTATTTATTTGACACGCAGAGAGAGATAGTGAGAGCAGGAACACAAGCAGGGGGAGTGGCAGAGGGAGAAGCAGGCTCACCGCTGAGCAGGGAGCCCGATGCGGGGCTCGATTCCAGGACGCTGGGATCATGACCCGAGCAGAAGGCAGAAGGCAGGCGCTTAACGACTGAGCCACTTAGGCGCCCCTACAGCAGGCTTTTTTTGAGCACCTATTGTATGCTTTCTCAAGGCTACAGTTTTCTATAGGCTCTCAGTGTAGTAGGGGAAATAAGACGTATCTCGGAACATATCTATCTTGGAAATAAGCATGTTCTCTCTCAAGACTATTGTAGAAAAGGAGGACCTGAGATAGACACAAATGAAGTTCCGGGGAAATTTCCAGAAAGGAGGGATTAACCCTACCTGGACGAAACTTGCAGTTATGTTGGCAAGAGATTTCCTGACACATTTATCTGTTTTTTTTTAAAAGCTGGCAACAGATCCTGGCCATAAACTCTAAAACATTCTGTCCAACTAAGCTTTTTGTGAAACTGTCCTTCTTCCAGTCATAATGTTTCCTCATATTATCCTGGGGACGGGTTGTAGGCTTGGGAGCTTGGACTGCTGTGAAGATTTCTCTTGTGGGGAATGAGGATGGATTCTAAGATTTCCTGTGAGTTTTAGGTAATGGGTCTGGTCTGTGAAAGGAGCTATATCAATTAGTAGGCCTCAGTTAGTAATTCAGTTTGATTGAAATATAGCAGTATTTCCTGGACTTGAGTTATTCAGCCATTACCATCTTCATATTCACCCGTGTTACAACTTATTTAATATTTTTTCTTAAGATTTTTGTTGTTAAAATTCTTTTCTTTTTTTGGGGGGGGGGTTAAGTTTCTTTAAAGAAGCTCTCTAATCCTGTGACAGTTGCCACTGGTAAGGTAAATGTAAGAATAAATACTGTGAAAATGGAACAGTGGTATTAGACAGTATTGCCTGCTCAGGGCTCTGAATCCAGTGCTTGTTGTCTTAAAAAGGGAGATTGGAGAGATTCGAGAGGTGTTTAAGACGTGTCTGTCCGGATTTGATTTTACCCTACTTATAAGCTAATATTTTATAGCCAGTTCATGGAACCTGGCAGAAGATATGAGACTGGTGGGTCAGGGACTACTCACAGCGCAAGCAGCATGAGCATCATGATCGCGTTGGTTGCTGTTACTTCCCAGCTCCTACAGGGGTTGCATGGAGAGGCCCAGGTGGATGCTACACATTCAGTGGCTTGCATCATGGCTAAGGACCACTCGAGCTTGGAAAATCCACTTCCTTTACAGCAGTCAGTAAATAAGCTTGCTCTTTCTCCTGGAGAGAGACATCACCTTATCCCTCAAGGTTGCACACTGCAAACAGAACCCTGAGAAATGGCCTGGGTGAAGAGTGGCGAGAACCTTGCGTTCTTGACACACTCAGCAAGAATGTACACGGCCCAGACTGCATTGCCTCACCTAGTGGTGCTAAATGCCGAGACCTTCTTGAAATAATCACAAGGAGTAGAGAAAATTTGTAATAAAAATAACTCTCTTGCCTTGTGATTTAATCTTTTTCTTAAAAAACTAAACTTTATTTTGAGGTAGGTTCACATGTAGTTGTAAGAAATAGTATATAGAAAAAAAATCAGTGAAATTTTTTTTTTTTTTTTTCCGGAGGG